AAATCCACATTTAGGCACCTACAGAGCCTTCAGAATTGCTGAGTCTTCCCTGCCTTCAGCAGCAAGGTGTGTTTGGATAACAGGGGCAGGATGTTTTTTTGGGATTTGTTGACAGTCCTCCCCAGAGCTCATTTCTGAGACTCTCACAAGCTGCAAAATCAGAGTTACTATAAAAAAAGCCTTTTTGGTTTTTTTTTTAATTGCTGTATGTCCCATTTACTGAGGCTTTTTTTCCCCCCACTGCAAACTTCTTCCTAGAGAGGCCACACACTGGGGACAACCAAATTCCCAGTTAAGGCTGGGGGTGCTGGATGTGCCCCTCCTGAAGGTCGCAGAGGAACCCAAAGTTCATCAGCTCAGCTAATTAAGCAGAGCTCGTTAGTTCTCTCCCCACAACGACCCCACGGCCAGGAAAAGGCTGAGGGTTTGATGAGGCTCTGGGTGTTTTGGGGACTCTGCTTTCCCAGTGATGTCCCATCCCACACCTCGGGATGTGGGAGCTCCAGACCAGCCCGTCCCTGGAGGACACGAGGCCGGCGGGTGCTCGGCCCCGTGTGGGGTCCTGGTGAGGGGTTTGTGAGGGGTGTGAGGGGGTCACAGAACCAAAACACCCCTTGGGGAGGTGTGTGCAGGGCACTGGGAATCCCGTGTTGGCATTCCAAAGGGCACAGCTCATTCCCAACATCCCGTGTCACTGCCCTCTGGGCTGTGTGGTTGTGGTTGCACCCCCTGGCACGTGGGATACGGAGAAACCAGGGGATGCTTTAGCCAGAACCCTTCTCTGCCTTAGGACGGAGCTGTGGGTCCCTCCAGGGCGCAGAGAATCCCTGGACACCTCCCCAGCGTCCCTTTGGGAAGGGATCTCTGCCCAGTGGCTTCTGGACAGGGTTTTCCTGGGAAAAACACTCCCAACCCGGGCTGGGTGGGAGCCCTTACCAGGCCTGGAGGGCACAGATGGGGTCGATCTCCGTCACGTACACGATGGAGCCCATGGCCTTCAGAGCAGCACAGCAGCCCTTCCCAACCTGGGAAAACAGGGACAAAGGGGAGCAGGAGGGAGGTGTCGAGATGCTCCAGGAGTATTCCCAAGGATGGACAACTCCGGGAGACTCTTCTGTCCTCCCCGGAACCCTCTGGAACCCTCCTGGTGGCAGATGCTCAATGTTTGGGGCACGGAATTCCGGGATTTGGGGTCACCCGAGGCCTGGCGCAGGCCCAGCTCTGAGCAGAGGCACCAAAAGATCTCCACGTGCTGCTGGTTTTGGGAGTTTATTCCCCCAGAACTTCCCGGGATCCCAAACACACCGATGGGAGAGTCCAGAAGGGCCAGGGAGGGTTGGAGAGCCCCAACTCAGGGTCGTTAATGGTCATTAACCTCGGGGGGTTAACGAGCTTTACCCTTTGCACCCTTAACCTGGGTTAAACGGCCAAAGGTTCCCAAAAAATGGGATTATGAGGGAGAAAAAAGAGCTATTTCAGCTGCTTGGATTAAAAAAAGGATCCCAGTCCAGCCCCCACAGCACAGCCCAGGACACTGGTGGGAACTGGGAAAGGGGGAATATTCCCATGTGGAGAGAGGAAGGGGCAGTTTGGGGGTGAAGGCACAGGGGTATGAATGAATATAAGATTCATATTTATATAAATTAT